CTAGAAGTTACGGTATTGCTTTTATGTCTCAATGAGTTAAGAGTAGGCTGAAGAGTCAATGGTTTATGTCAAAGCAAGTATAGCCCAACAATTTTCCTGAATACGAATTCGCAACTTTCGATTTACAGCAGTACCTACTTTGCTTTGCTAGGTGAACAGGGAACCAAGGAGGCTAAGTGTGTCCAACAACTTTCCACCAGCCCGGAATCGAACCTGTGATATCTGCTTGTGAGGCAAGAGCGGTACTGCCTACCCCTGCGCCCCTGTGTGTGTGTGTGTGTGTGTGTGTGTGTGTGTGTGTGTGTGTGGCCAAAATTAGATAAGGTCAACATTGAATCCTATGAACTCAAGTATTGGTGTGATATAATATTCCATATATCTCCCCAACCAACCTGATATGGTACACACACACACACACACACACACACACACACACACACACACACACACACACACACACAGTATCGTTAACTGTCAGTGGAGGTGAAGCAGAGTGTCTTGAAACAGCAGGAGTGCCCCAGGGATGTGTAATGTCACTCTGCTTGTTTTAATAGGTCTGTGTAGGAGGGAGTAATGTGTCTGTCGCCCCACCACCTGCCTCTCTTATTGACCTTTGGGTGAATTGTGGGATGGTGGGTGGTGGGTGTGAGGGGTGGTGGGTGCGTGGGATGGTGGGTGGTGGGGTGGTGGGTGTGAGGGTGGGATTGTAGTAGTGGGTGTGAGGTAGTAGGTTGGTGGGTGTGAAGTGGTGGGTGTAGGGTGGTGGGGTGGATGGAATAATGTGGATAGAAAATGGGGCTGGAGGTAAGAAGTAAAGAAAAGGAGGAAGGGGAAGAGAGAGGGTGGAGGAAGATATAGATGGAGGATTTAAGTTTAAGCTTAACAACTTTATTGACAAAGCTTGGAGTACAGCTTGCCTATTGTGAGTAATTCAGTCAGGTTTTGACACTGAGGGTGGTATCACGTTTCATTGCCACGCAGGACAGAGGTTCATACATAATTTAGGTCATATGAATTAGTGTTAATTCTATTTAAGGACTTTTCAGTGTGGACTCGTAAATTTAGGAGAGACTGTAAGAATGTCATCAAGCACTCCTGATACAATAAGCCAGGTGGCCTGAAGTCTTAGACAGTGTCACATTCACTGATAAAGTGTTCAAGTGTATGCTTTAGAGGTTTATCACAAAGTTTACATGCTGAGTGTTCCGGTATGGGTACAGCGTTACTAACTTGCCAGATGTGTCTGTATCCTAGCCTAATTCTGGGCACGACTACATCACATTGTCTGGTTCTGTCCTTATGCTGGCCATACCGGTACCTCTTATCACAAAATTTGTCATATTTACTAATGCTACAACTGCCAGGTCTCTGCATTTCTCACTTCTAGATCAGAGTACATGATTCTGACTTGAATGTTTTTAAGTACAGCATTGGACAGGCCAAGGTCACGGTCAACATTTCCTCTCTCACATGCCTCATTGGCCAGTCTATCAGCACAGTCATGATACCTAATTCCAACATGGGACGGAATCCACACAGTTATCACATTTCTTTTAATATCACATACAACTTTAGACATAGAACCTGACGGGCTGTTCATTGATTTCAAAGCACTTTGAGAGTCACAGAATATCACCCCACCTCCATTTTCTTTAAGGTAGTCTGTGGCTAAGTAGATTCCCATTAGCTCAGTGTGTTGTGCTGCCCCAGTTGTTCAGTCTTTGCCTGTTTGACACTATCATCTCCTTTTCTTTATATATTACAATTGCACAGCCTGTTCTACCTGTGTTTGTCTACACAGAACCTTCAGTAAAAGCATAACATTCGCTTGAGTTAATACTCTCTATGTGTCTGTTAATAGTTTCTAGTGTGACACATCTCACCGCATCGGTGTTTAACATTTGCTTACTACCAACAGGAGTGTAACTAATAGGAACTGATATATCTAGCCAAGGAGGACTGGCATTAATGGGTTCGTCTGGTAGAGAGTCTTTTGTGGAAGGTTGGCGAGAGTCGGGATTACTTAGATAGAACATCAACTCAGTTTGAGCTGTAGTTTGGGGACCATTGTTCGTTCTTCAAAAGTTTGACACAAAACATGGTATTAAGTAGAGCTATCCTGGTAGATTTGTGGCATCCTAGGGCGATGGGGATGGGTCCATTTTGTGGAGGAAGAGTTAGAGGGAGGGAAAGTAGGAGAGAAGGTGGAGGATAAAGAGAGAGAGAGGGAGGAGGAGGAGGAGGAGTGAGCAAGGGGTTGTGTTAGTATTAAGTTACTAAGTTGATCAGTAGACAGGCTGGCTAGTCCTCACTCCCTCCCTCCCTCAGTGTAGAGTAGGCCGCGTCCCCTCCTATAATAATAACAATAATAATAACGTGTGTGTGTGTGTGTGTGTGTGTGTGTGACTCAGCTTCAGAAAAACAAACTCATTAATCGCCCTCAGGATTTGTATGACGATACGAGTTACATCAACATAAACAGTTTTATT